TTGTTTGTTTTTTGTTTTGGGGGTTTTTAAATTTATTTTGTTTGTTTGGGGGGGTTTAAAATTTATTTTGGTTTTGTTTTCTGGGGTTTTTTTTCCATTTGTTTTTTTTTTTTCTCCCAGTTTTTGATCACTCAGCATGGAACAGAGTGTTCCCACTGGGAAGGACCAGAGCCCTGGATGTCCCTGCCGTGCTCTGGGCCCTCCTGTCCCTGCAGGGCTGGCCAGGCCGGGTTCTTACTCACTGTTATTCCAGGGAAGAACCCGGACAAACCTTCAGCAAAGCCTGCCGTGACTCAGGGCTTGCCCAAAATAAAGCTGCAGTGTCAGCCCCAGCCCTGGGGCAGGGGATGCTCTGGCACGAAGGGTCGGGGCTGCTTTAAAAATTCTGATTTCTCTGAGCTGGACCCACCCCGAGCTCGGGTGCGGCTCAGCTGAGCTCGGCTTATCTGAGCCGGGATCAGCGGCAGCGCAGAGCCGGGCTCAGCTGAGCCTGGGGAGATCGGAGAGGGAGATTTAGGCTGGAGTTAATGCCTGAAATCCCTGATGTCATCCTCGCTGTGCTGCTGGGAGCCAGGGCTGGGCCATCGGGGTGGGATCGAATCCGTGGGATGGGATCCATGGGGTGAGAGCCATGGGATCAGATTGGATCCATGGGATGGGACAGGATGGGATCTGTGGGGTGGGATCGGATGAGATGGGATGGATTCCATGGAATGGGATGGGATAGGATGGGATGGGATCCATGGGACCTATGGGATCCATGGGATCTTTGCCCATCATCCCCCAGCACACCCAAGGGCTCACAGCAGGAGTTTCCCTTTCCAGCTGCTGCAGGCTCAGCATTGCCTGAGCTTGAAAAGTGGAGCAGGGACAGGGGATCCTGGGCTGGAGGAGCTGCTGGGATAAATAAAACTGCTGGGATAAATAAAACTGCTGGGATAAATCCAGAGGAACCCACGGAGCTGCTGCAGGGCTGGAGCCAGGCTGGGAGAGCTGGGGGTGCTCACCTGGAGAGGAGAAGGATCCAGGGAGAGCTCAGGGTCTAAAGGGGCTCCAGGAGAGCTGGAGAGACAAGGGATGGAGGGACAGGACACAGGGAATGGCTCCCACTGCCCCAGGGCAGGGCTGGATGGGATTTTGGGGATTAGGAATTGTTCCCTGGGAAGGGGGGGATGGAATTCCCAGATTTTGCTGCCCCTGGATCCCTGGCAGTGCCCAAGGCCAGGCTGGAGCAGCCTGGGACAGGGGGAGGTGTCCCTGCCGTGACACTGGGTGGGATTTAAGGTCCTTCTAATCCAAACCATTCTGGAATTCTCGGCTTCTCCCCACCCTGTGGCAGTGCCAGGCTGAGCCCTGACTCCTCAGGACGGCTCCACGCACACAGCCCCGGCTGCCGCGCTTTGGGGACGGTCAAAATCGCGTCCCAGGTCCTGGCAGTGCCATCCGTCCCCTCCGCCAGCCCTCGGGGACCCAGCGGTGACCGGAGCAATTAGAAAGGGAAATAAAGCCGGGAAGAGCGGAATGCCCGGCAATTTCCCGGGCCATTATCACACCTATGGGCCCCGTTAATGAGTTCCAGTGACAATCAGTGCCGAGCGTTAATTACAGCGCCGGTCCCCGATGCTCCCTGGGTAGCGCTGCCCAAAGCGGCTCCGAGCCCGCCCGACCTGGGCATTATCTGGGGGTTCTGGGGGGTTCTGGGGGGCTGCTCTGGGCCGTGCCAGTGACCCACAGGGCTGGGGAATGGCAGGGGAATGCCAGGAATGCAGAGCAGAGCCTGCAGGGAGGGGAGCCCGTGCCGCCCAATGGAGAAACCTGTTTGATTCCCCTGAAGGGCAGAACACACCCAAGGCTCCTCCTCAAAACAAGGCTCGGCCCTCTCGGCAGGTAAGGGCTCAGGTGTGCCACAGGTAAAGGCTCAGGTGTGCCCCAGCCGTGCCAGGACCAGCTCCGGATCGCCAGTCTCACCTGGGGAGCTGCACAGGTAGGGCTGAGATGGGGCTCCCTCACCTGTCCCCTCCCTCCTCTTCTTCACCTGTCCCCTCCCTCCTCTGCCTCACCTGTCCCCCCGTCCTTCCTCACCTGTCCCCCCTCACCTGTCCCCCCTGCCCGCAGGTGAGGACCAGCAGGGTTTTGCTGTCCTCAGTGGGACGCCCCAAATCCTTTTCCCGGTGCGGATCTGGAGATTTGTGGGGTGCTGGGGGTGTGGGCTGAGCTGTGCCCGGATTGGGATTCCTGCAGCAGCGGGGCTGGGGCCGAGCTTTGGTTCTTGGGGTTTGGTTGCACCTGTTTGATCTCAAATTCCCTGCCCCGCATCCTCCTAAAACCCTTTTCCCTCTGGGATTCACCTGGGACAGGTGCGGGTGGGGGCAGAGTGGGGAAAACTCCCGGGAAATTCAATCCTGCGACCTCTGGAAATCTCTGGAGAGATTTAGGGCAGCTCCAGCTCCTTCTGCCCCTCCCTCCCAGGACTCCTGTGGGATCCAGGTGGGGATTTGGATCCCTCCCTTCCTCCCTTCCTCCTGCTCTGCCTTGTTTTCTTTCTCCCTGGTGAAATCAGAGCCCTGGGAAGGAGTGGCAGAGCTGGCACAGGGGACAGAGAGCACCTCCCTCTGTCCTTGCTTCATCACAGCGCAGGGAATGTCCCATTTAATTTTTTTCCCCCCCAGAACCCATTTAATTTTTTTCCCCCCATCTCCCATTTATTTCCCATTTTCCTGTTCCACCCTCTCCAGGACAGGAGGATGAGCTGGGATCACCTGGACAGGTTGGGAAGCAGGGATCTCCTCCCTCCTCAACTCGATTTTTTTTTTTTTTTTTAGGGTATTTTATTTATTTATTTTATTTATCCGCTTATTTTATTCATCCAGCCAATTCAGCACATTTCTTCCCAAAAAAAAAAAAAAAACAAAAAACAGTCATGATTTTTTTACAAAAAAAAATTAAAATTGTATTTTCTTGGCAAAACCTGGTGGTGTCTGTGATGTCAAGGAGCTTTTGTCCTGCGACACGAACACAAAGCTCCACCTCCGACACAAAACCCATTTATTTTCCCTTCCTTTTCCCTTTCATCTTCGGACATCCAGGCTCAAGGTCAGCGGTGCGTGGGTGTGGTGAAGGTCCCGCACATCCTTCCTTTCAAAGGCAGAAATTAGCTGAGCAATTAGGAACGGATTCCGTGTAATTAGAGCAATGAAACTGCACACCCAGCACGCTGAAAACAAAAAAAAAAAAAAAAAAAAACGAACCGAGGATGTTTTTGGGCAGTAGCAGGGGGGGGAATTTTTTGTGCTGGGGATGGTCCAGGATGATCCCTGGGCATGGGCAGGGCTGGGCGCTGCTCTCAGGAAGTTTTCCACTCTTTCCTCACTTCAACAGCTCCAGCATTTGAATTTTTAATTTTTTTTTAATATTTTATTTTTGTGGGATGCGTGGTTGTGAGTGAATGAAAGGAAATTCTAATTGTGCATTTGTCTGTTGTGAGGTCTGGGCAGGTTTTCCCCCCACCTCCAGCTCCAGGTTTTCATCCCTTTTTTCTATATTCAAGGAAAATTCACTGTCCTCAGGCCACGGGGAGATGATCCCGAGGGAATGTGGGGCTGGGATGGGGCTGCTCAGAGCTCCTGCAAAGCCCCAGGTCAGGAAATCAGGAATTTCTCCATGGAAAGGGTGGCCAGGGATTGGCCAGGGAGGGTTGGGGTCCCCATCCCTGGAGGTGGGAATTGAGCACAGGATGGATTTGATGATCCCAGAGTGATTTTCCATCCTCTGGGAGGTTTGGGGTCCCCATCCCTGGAGGTGGGAATTGAGCACAGGATGGATTTGATGATCCCAGAGTGATTTTCCAGCCTCTGGAATTCTGGCTCATGAACCAGGCAGGCAGAGCTGCTGTGTTGCACAAGCCCAGCAGGTTGGATTTAAGGTTTGGCTGAAGCATTGATTTAAGGTTGGATTTAAGGGTTGATTAAGGGTTGAGTCCAGGCTGGATTTTAAGGGTTGGGTCCAGGTTTGGTTGAAAGTTGGATTTTAAGGGTTGGATTTAAGGTTGCCTGGACTCTTTCAATTCCTGAATTCCTGCTTGTTCACACCTTGACTTTAGGAATCTCCTGGTGCTTCTTAAACATCCCCAGCGTTTATGGAACAGCATCAGTGTTAAACTGTGACTGCATGGAGGAGGGAAAAGCAGGAATGAAAATCTGGGCATTGGCTAAAACTCTGGCTGGGGTTAATTTGGTCCTGGCAGGGTTAATTTGGTCCTGGCAGGATTAATTTGTCTCGGGCTGTCCCTTCTCAGGTGACAGCAGGGCAGAGCAGGGACAAGCTCAGCTTTGTGTGCTGTGCTGGGCAGAGAAAGCCGAGTGTGTGCCCGGCTGGGGGGCAGTGCCAGGCTCGGGATGTGCCAAGGGGGAAAAGGAAAAGATTTCTCTCCTTGCTGTGCCTTTCCAAAAGCTGGGCTCCACCTGCCACCTCCAATTCCCACTTTTCCAGGTGGACTGGGGGCCTGGCCCCACTGGAGACGGGGCTGGAGGAAAAAACCCTCAGCAGGCTCAAAGGAAGGAGGTTCAAACCTTTTGCAAGCTTTCAACACGTTTTAATTGGAGGCCGTGAAGGTCAGAGCAGGCAGCAATTATCCTCAGAGCTGGAGATTTTTCTGCATGACTGCCCTGGGTGATGTTTGCAGCTTGGGGGTCACTGGCCAAGCCCTGTGCCCAGCTCCTGAAACGAGTCCTGTGCTCGCCAAGGGCAGGGGAGAGAAATCCTTGGAAAACTCCAGTGGTGGGAGCAGAGCCTGGAGCTGCTGCTGGATCCGGGACCCAGATCAGGGTGGGCAGGATCCCCTTGGGATTTGGGGGAATAACTTGGGAAGGACAAGGAT